TTTGCGCTTCGCGCAAATATCGCCCCCCTCCAGATTTATTTCTGTATACGCCCTTGAATCAAAGTCACATTCTTCATGTGTAACTCGGTATTCTGCATCATTACCTTAAAGCATTGAACATTTCATACAGCAAGAAACAAAAAACTGTGGAATAGGAAGGCGACATTAAAGTAATGATTAAGTGTATTTGATCTTGTTACAAAGCAAATAGTTATATTAGTGAAATAGTTATATTAGTGAAATTAATAAAACCATTTATTCAGCTAAAGGGGTCTGTTAAACACTGCACAATGCACAACTGTGTCTCGTATTCATTAGATTTGACTATTTAAAGTCATAAACTATCATAACTTGAGTCTTAAAGTCGTCTTCATATTCAAGAGTTTTCTATTTCTCAATGTAAGTAAATGCGCATTTAATTCTAAAATGTATTATTTTAGGTGAGAAAACGCAAAAATGTTATTTGCTCTCAAATGTCGGCTTACTCAAATTATAAAGCTATGCAAATTTGAAAGAGACATTGATACTATTCAATGTTTTTTTAAACATCGGCAAGTGTTTAAAGTGTTTAAATGTCTAAAAATATGCAACTGATTAAGTTTAATCTTCACAGACTTTGACGAAACAAATAAAGGAGCCACGAGGTCACAAAGTACGTCGGACCTGCAGTAATTTAGTTTGAATATATATGTCCTTTCCTATCCGTCTAAATTGGAGTGAAATTCACACCGCCCACGTAAACTAAGAAAGTTTACAATTGTTTAGCAAAAATAGAAATTATGGATGTAAGTTTAAATATATATATTTCTAATCAATAATACATGTGTTGAATGTAAATCAATTACAACATGTCTTTTGCAATTATGATATTTTTTTACTGGGAAATGCATTCATATTTTTTAGATTTTTTAGATTTAATACTTAAGGGATTTTAAACGTAATTTCAAGAGACTCTCTATAAAAAGAGGAGCTTGACGATTCACGACTGTACCCTGTAAAGCTCTGTAGTAAAAATGCCCAAATCACTTTTTTAGTTTTTATAACCAAAAATTCAATTAAAGCTTATCAGTTTTTACGATTACAAACATGGATGTATAATTCATACTTGATCAGAAAAAGCTTTGCCATTGTTAATCAGACATGCCTTGAATTGGATTTAAAACATTTTATTTTAAAGTTTTTGCGAGTACTGCAGATTGTAGAATTTTTTAGTGAGTATTCTCTTTAGAAGGCTAAAACTTTTCTCTCCTTGTATTATTCGTGAATTTAGACAAATCCTTAGTCTTTGTCATTGTTAGTTGTTACTTTTTAAGCGTAGTTTCCTTTTAACTCCCAGGGGGGCAAGAGGACTACTGCCCCCCTAGGTACACCCTATGGGTGCCCCCCTTCAGCCTCTCAGGGGGGGCACGCGTAGAGGGGGGCGGGGGGCGCCCCCCCTCGTACGCCACTGCCCTTTGGTCAGCCATAGCCAACATATAAATAAACGAAGAGCTTTATTATATAGATTTCAATTGTACTCCTACTTTTGATTTCAAAACCGAACTTTTACAAGTCATAATTATTTTGTGGATCTTTGTCCTTTTTTTCATCTCATAGAATTTAAGTTTAATTTGAGTTTTTCCTTTTCAAAAATGTCTTTTACTATCTCTAGATTAAATACTAATTATTACTATCATTACTAACATATATTATTACTAACAGTATAAATAATTATATCGATTTTTTAGAAACAATACTTTTTTTTGCTATTTTTATTCGAAGGAGAGATAAAGTATAGTACATGCAAGGTAATTGGACTGTATGTGTATCTTTAAAGTATCTTACTGATGCCTGATATCCAAGAAGCCAGTAAATTGTTTTGAACTCTGCATCATTACCTCAAAGCATTGAACATTTCATACAGCAAGAAACAGAAAACTGTGGAATAGGAAAGACTTTAGTCTTAAAGTCGTCTTCATATTCAAGAGTTTTCAATTTCTCACTGTGAGTAAATGCGCATTTAATTCTAAAATGTATTATTTTAGTAGAGAAAACGCAAAAATGTTATTTGCTCTCAAATGTCGGCTTACTAAAATTATAAAGCTATGAAAATTTGAAAGAGACATTGATACTATTCAATGTTTTTTAAACATCGGCAAGTGTTTAAAGTGTTTAAATGTCTAAAATTATGTTGAAATGGCTTAAACTTTAGGAAGGATAATTTGAAGGAAAAAACGGATTTACCAAAAGTAGAGGTAAGTTAAGAAGAGGAACAATATATATAGTGTTTAATAACATCATTCTGATTCAAGCTAATCATTAAATCTCACTGTACTTCACTATAGTTCTGGTGTATCTAGTATCTACATTTAATATTTAGATAAAGTCAGCTTACACCAAACCGTCTCCACTTTACGATGGTTTGGACTTCTTTATTTTCAAAATATATATGTCAGCACTTCTGGGAATTCGAAAAATATTTCGGGGATTCCAAATTAAAGATTTTAAAAATCAGCTGATTCCGAATTGTTGGTCGGGCGTTGAAGTCTCTAAAACTAGTGTCGTGATAAGACTGCACATCTCTCACTAAACTTGGAATTCCCACAATCCTTATTCCAACAGCTTTATGCATGNGGAAATTCCAAATGGGCTGAAATGGGAAGGTTAGGTGGAAATCTAAGAGAATTTAAAATTAATAAAAAAAATAAAACAAGAAGATAAAGCAAAGCGCCATAATGAAAATGTTAACGCCAGGATAAAAACGATTATATTAATGATGTCATCAACAGAAACCGCAAACAAGACAGAAGGAGACGGTAAAATTCATGTGACCAGTGATATGTCTTTTTGATCTCGTATAGCTCATCTAGTTCTGATTTATGGGTTGTCTAAAAATTGGATGAGACTGTAGGGACGAAAACCGGAGCCTGGACCAGCCAAGGCTAGATGAGCTGGTTTCTACATTTAAAGGAATTGAGTATGTGCCACAAACAAAATGTTCTAATTCCTATATCTTGCATTTCAAACTTGCAAACCTTAAATATTTTAAACTATGAATTCTGTTAGATCAAAGAATCAAAGTTTGAAGTATCAAAGGTTTACATAATCAGGTTGCAACGATATAGGGATGAGATTGTGGCAAAGACTTAATTTCATAAATAGCTTTTTGGTCTATAATTCAACAATCTTAAAGTTTATAGAGTTGTCTTATATATCTGCTGACATAAAGTTTATAGAGTTGTCTTATATATCTGCTGACATAAAGTTTATAGAGTTGTCTTATATATCTGCTGACATAAAATGTATAAAAGAGAGAAAGCGATTTATCAATGATGACGACTTTTCATCTAATTTTTTAATTGAACTGATTAAAATTATTTTTTTACTATCATTAGGTTTTAGTTTTAAACTTAAACATTTTACTAAATATGCTGAAATATGAAGATATTCAAGCAAAATGTTTACTTATCTCTGCTAGATATGAACATTGGATAGAAATCAAAACTAAAATAGAAAGTCGTCTTCGTTGTATTGATATTAACGGAGAACATTGTTTTAGTACCAATTCATAAATTTATTGTTCAATGCATCATAAATTAATATTTATAAGGTTGAACGAGTTTCAGTCGCCATTAAAGTATCATCCCTTGAGAGCAACCATGTTTATTGGTCCTCTATTTTAATATTTACTGATATATTTAAATATTAACAAAGCTAACCTCTATCATACTTCTATACTGTATTTGTTTTTATTACTGCCATGCTAAACATTTGGATTATAAAGCCTTTCGATTTATGTTAACATTATGTTTATAATCATATACTTGAATTGTTAAATACAAACGTTTAATTTTGGAAGATAAGAAATTAGAAATATGTTTGTTTAATTATGCTATAATTTTGCAAGAAATTAGAGCATAAGTATGTTGAAATTTTGTTAAAGATCTAGTCAGCTTTTATTTTTAAATGAGATAAAAATCATCCGATCTTTAGGAAGAGAAATCGATTTAAATTCACGGCAAAATAAAGGAAAAATGCGTTAGATCGAAAAAAAGAGCTTTTAGCAAGAAAATAAGTTTAAATGTCTAAAAATATACAACTGATTTAATTTAATTTTCATTGACTTTGACGTGTAACAATTAGAGGAGCCACGAGGTCACAAAGTACGTCGGCCTTGCAGTAATTTAGTTTGAATATATATGACCTTTCCCATCTGTCTAAATTGGAGTGGAATTCACACCGCCCACGTAAACTAAGAAAGTTTACAATTGTTTAGCAAAAATAGAAATTATGGATATAAGTTTAAATATATATATTTCTAATCAATAATACATAATAATAAATCAATTACAACATGTCTTTTGCAATTATGATATTTTTGTACTGGGAAATGCATTCATAATTTTTAGATTTAAAATTTAATACTTAAGGGATTTTAACGTAATTTCAAGAGACTCTCCATATAAAGAGACTCTCTATATAAAGAGACTCTCTATATAAAGAGACTCTCCATATAAAGAGACTCTCCATATAAAGAGACTCTCCATATAAAGAGACTCTCCATATAAAGAGACTCTCCATATAAAGAGGGGCTTGTACGATTCACGACTGTACCCTGTAAAGCTTTGTAGCAAAAATACCCAAATCACTTTTTTAGTTTTTATAACTAAAAATTCAATTAAAGCTTATCAGTTTTTACCATTACAAACATGGATGTCTAACTCATACTTTTAAGGGCACCATTGTTAATCGGACATGCCTTAAATTGGATTAAAAACATTTTATTTTAAATTTCACAAGTTTTTGCGAGTACTGCAGATTGTAGAATTTTTTAGTGATAAAGTGAAAAAAAGCGAATATTATTATTACGAAGAAATTTATGTTCTAAAAGAGGAGATCTTATTGATAAAATTTCAATAAATGCCTTTAGTTAATTTTTCATAGTGATTTTAGTATAAAAAGTAATCCTTGAAAGTTCAGAAGTTTGAAAGACAGCTAGAGAAGAATAGAGCAAGCAAAATAACACTTTGGCAAGATCACGGTTAATTTCCAATTTGATATTAATAATGAACATTGTAAAGCTAAAAAAAGGAAAAATATGGCCCTGGCAGGTTCACATACAAAGTTGCCAAAGGTTTTCAAAACTCTGACAAACCTTTGACCCTCATGGAAAGCTAGGATCAATGTTACTAAACTTATGATTGATTACTGATGCATACTTCTAGGCGGTGGAGAACTTTTAAGTAAGAATGGCTTCCCGGTGGTGGTGGACTTCTAGGTCTTGGTGGACTTCTAGGTCCTGATGGACTACTAGGTGGGGGAGGACTATATGGCGGTGGAGGACTTCTAGGCGGTGAAGAATTACTAGGCAGTGAATGACTTCTAGGCAGTGAAGAACTTCTAGGCGGTGAAGAACTTCTAGGCGGTGAAGGAGTTCTAGGCGGTGAAGGGATTCTAGGATGCGTTGAAGTACTTTGTGGTCCTGGATGACTTCTAGGGGACAGAGTACTTATAGGAGGTGGATGGCTTCTACGCAGCGGAGTACTTCTTGGAGGTGGAGGAGTACATGGTGTAGCTTTGGTAAGTGTTTCATCAACGTTTGCTGCAATTAGGCCCTCAATCTCGCCCTCGTCTGAACAAGGGGGAGTAGAACTATCAGTAGATACAGGGGGAGGAGGGGTATCAGTAGGCGAGTTAAGATTTTTGGTTTCATTGTTATCTCCGGCATTTCTAGATTCTAAAAGAGCCATATTAAGATTAATTTGCTCATCAACTTTCTTTTTTTCCCTAGCTCTTCTTTTTATAAATAGTATAGCTTTCTTAGCCAGCCAGCCAGTCAGCAATACACTGATTCCTCCGACAACATAGCCTGCGATTATCCATGGGTTTTCAGAATAAGTCCTATCTTCCAGAAATATGGTGCTGGTAGGTTCAGGCAAAGTCAAATCCCCCTAAATCAAGAAGAATTACTTTTAAGATAAAAAATTATCTTAATTTTTATTCAACTGCAGCTCTATGTCTTAAATTAGATGAATCACAGCTCATCTTAAAAAAATATTTTTCAGACCAGCCGAAAATCATTATTGAGAAAAAAAATCCATCTGTCTGTGACGTCAAACTTATTTTCCGGGTTACATTTTTTCTCAAGTTCCTCCTCAAAAACTAAACGGAAAAAAAATCAATTAAAATTCCTGTTTTCATTCTTTTGGAATTGCAAATAAATTTTTGGGAATACAAATTTAGATGACTAATGTCTAGTGTTGCAACGTTATCTGTGCAAATTACCGAGAACATTCTTTGGAGACAAGTTAAATACTAATTCAGGGGCATATACAAAGATGTGTTTAGGGGGGAGGGGGAGGGAGGTGGCATAAACAAATTACGCAGAAATGTCTGATTTTACAGAGGATTTTGAAAAAAGAGAATTATTTTGAGGCTCAACTTTTGTTATTCTGACCGACTGTTAATCTTTAATATATATTTTGGATACAAATAAATAACACAAAAGAGAACTAGAACAGCCAAAAATATATTTACAAACAACTAAAATCATTACTTCTAAGTGTTTTTTTATCTTTAGGATCGATAAATTGGTCTCAAACAAAACAAAACGATTTTTTAAATCGGTTTTCATGCAATTATAGCAAAGGTACAATAGGAGTTTTTTTTTATCTGTTGAACCAACCGGGCACATTTTAGCGGGATCTGACAATAATTTTGATCTTTCAAAAAGGATTAAAGATTACCTGTACGCATTCTCCGTCTATGTCCATATATCCTGTTATACATGAACCACATAAGCTTCTGCTCTTGGCGCAAACCCCTACAGGAGTTTTCCTTTTGTATCTTTCTGTACAATCGATACAAGGATTGCAATACCCATCGTCTCTATTGAAGAAACAGAACTTGTTGCTATCACAATCTGAATCAGATTTACATCGTCGTAATCCATAATCCTTATTTCTTGACCAGGTGGAGGCTTCCGGTCGGATAAGACTGGATACGAGTAGGAGGAATACGAATGCTTTTTTGTTACACATGATACTTTGAAGGTCGGAGAAGAACTAGACAATTTGCTATCTTTGGAATATTCTAGACACTCAATTGATTTTCAATGCGTTCAATGCCCCCACTGATAAAATTCCAGGCTTATCTGAAAAATATGCATCTTGTAATGACAACACTTGTTATGATTATTAAACAAGATTACATCGGTACACTTGAAACCTTTATCTGATCAATAATGTTCGAAGGATAAAATAGATGATTTTTTGAAGATGAATACATGAGGATGGCTACTGGGAGTCAAAAATGTAAAAAAAAAGGCAGAAATAATCCCGTCATCTCTAAAGTATAATCCTTTTAGAGTAACCCTACAGCTCTGTCGTCATATTTATTGAGTTTTAGGTCGTCATTAAAGTAATTTCTTTTTAGTGAAACCTGTAATGGGTATTATATTTTTGTCAAACAAAATGGTTAAAAAGTTTAACAAGTACAGGAGCCAACTCAAAAAATAAGATAAATTCGAATTCTTAGGAGTTACAAAAGGTTTATAAAAGTTGCCAGGAAAGCTTGGATGAGACTGTAAAGATGACCGGAAACTCTTTTAATTATGACGATCCCAAGTTAAAAGTTTTCTGTCTTGAATTATAATAAAGCCGTTTAATGGTATATTTGATTATTTGTCTAAGAAAGAAAGAAAATTACAGTTCCAGGAATGCATGAATTTGAGGAAACAGACATGCATACATTCCGTACAGTCGTCTCTTAAGTCTCATCCTTTGTGAATAACCCTGTAGGGTAACTTTTATGTTAAATATAAAAGCAGGGTGATAATTATCATTATTATTTTCAATTACCAACGTTTTGAATTTGAGACAGGACTTAAATGAATGATTGCTTCTTCACTCTCTAACACACAAAATATGACTGAGCATGTTTACTGAGATAAAAGAAATTAATACATGAAACTTCATGTCGACACACAAAATAAATTTCAACATAGTTTTCACTTATCCCTGTGTATAATACGCCCCTGACCTCCTGCATGCCCCCCCCCCCCTCCTCCAATTTACGCTTTTGTTCGGATTCGTCAAGCAAAGAGAATGTTTTATCAAGGGTGTAACAAATACAACCTCTTCATTCATTTTTATCATTTGATGTGATCAACAGTCAAAACTATCCCACAGTACGTGCAGTGAAATGAATTTAAGCTGAGTAGAAGTGTGGAAATGATGCAGCTAGGACAGATAATGTTATTAATAAGATAATGTCATTGACCAATGTATTGCACCAATTTATTGTAAACTATTTGTTGATTATTGACTAAAAATACTTTATTTCATAATAAACTGGATAGATAGGTATACATTTTTATACATATACAATATCTATCCCAATAATAATATAATTTAATAAGTTTTTAACTAAGTACATATTTTTCTGCAGGTTTTTAAGCTTTGGGTGTACTGGGCTAAGGATTGAAGTAATTTAAAGGGTGTGTTCGTGAAAAGTTCTATAACGATCCCTTTGAAAACTCCTTTTTCTGCGCTTTCTTAGTGAGTACTTATATTTAAATCCATCGTAGTAACAGTGACTTACATATGTACATAGCAGCTTAACAATATTGAATAATATTTGCGTCACAAAGTCTTCTTCCTATTCAAATAAAGAAATGCGCTAAACTTCCAAACATAAATGTTAATTTTTTGAGAAGGATGCATTGTTAGAAATGCAAAATTTTAATCCTTATTTTAATTGATAAAAGATCATGGAGATACAACTTTTATATTAAGTATTTATATATTTCATACAATCATGTTTTAAATTTCTATTTGTATTTTAAACGTATTTTTATATTTAATGTGAAAAGAACAAGAAACTATTTTTCAAGATAATTTGAGAATTTAAATTTTTTAATTTAAATAACAACGAGTACATTATGTTGCGCTAACAATATCTGTATGAGATCAGAAATGAAACAAGATGGGAATAGGAAAAAGACGGAAACTGGAATAAGACAAAAACAATATTAAACTATTTGTTAAGGGGATGAAAAGTGATTTATTTTTATATTTCAGTGTAGCAGTTTTAAACATCAAAGAACAACCCATTTTTATATTTGGTAAATATGGTGCGCTGAAATAAATCTTCTTAAGTTAACTATTTTAATTTTTACATTTAAAAAATAATTCTACATTAAAAATGTCATGTTTACAAAACATGAACATTGAACATATGCTTTTGAATATTTGATTTATTTGATGTTGTTGTTGTTGTAGGTGGCTTGGGGTGGGGGGAAGAATAAGAGTTCCAAGGGGGGGGGAAGAAGAGTTACAGGGGGGGGGCAGACACACTATTTGGGAGAAGGAAGAGGAGAAAGCAAATCACAGTCCAGTCCAACTGAAAAAAATAAACTGAATTATAAAAAAACATATTTCAAGAAACACTCCAAACTAAACAACTGAAAATTTTTCAATAATATCCCATTTAAAATTTTTTGAAAATAAAACAATTTTCTTTTTCATTGTAACAAAATCGGACTATTGATGCAGTGTTCACACAAAACAGATGTGGTTGTTTTTGATCGGTATCTCTTCTATGTATTCAAGATATAAAAATTTAACTTTTTTATCAATTTTTCTTTTTTCAATTATTTTTCTATTTACTTTTAAATGAGGACGACATTTGCAAAATAACTAAAATAACTACAGCTAATATAAAAAATGCAAGAAAAGAAAAAAACAAACCGGTTTACCTGACTAATGAAGCGTGTTTAACTAGCAGGCTAGGCAGGGTTATATCCTCTTCAAGATTTTTATCTCAATTTAAAAAAAATTTTACTATATTACTTATATCAAGGTTGAATGAAAAATTGACAAAATAGAATTTAAAAAAACCTTTGTTTTATTAAAACGTCATGTTTTGTTTTAAAAAATAAAAAGAGTAAAAACTTATAAATTTTGTTAAAAAAAATCATTCCTTTTTGCTGCCCAATTCCTTACAGCTTTCCTATATCTAAAAAATATTTATATGATTTGAAAAGGTAACAAAAAAACTTTTTTTTAAATCTATGTAATAAAAAAGACATTCATACACATGTTTTTCATTGCCGGCCGAACGGCTGGACCGAATGGGCTGACATTTTTGTGGACACTCATGGGTGTCTTAGGCTAAAAAAATCGATTTCTTAAATTTTTAAAATGGACCAAAAAACGTCAGATGTCAGTTAATACCTGTGCTTGATGCAGATGGCTGATAAATAGAGGCTGTCATTGACATCCCAGGATCCTCAAGGACCTATGTTAAAAGAGATAAATTGAGGCTGTCATTAACATCCCTTGGTCTTCAAGAACCTATGTTAAAAGAAATAATTGAAGGCTATCATTGACATCCCTGAATCTTCAAGAACCTATGTTAAAAAAAGATAATTTGAGGCTATTATTGGTTTCACTAGACCTTTAAGTTATGTTAAAAGATCTAAATAGAGGCTGTCAATGACATCCCTGGATCCCCTAGAACCTATGTTAAAAGAGATAAATGGAGGCCGTCATTGACATCCCTGGATCTTCAAGAACCTACGCTAAAAGAGATAAATAGAGGCTGCCATTAACATCCCTGGGTCTTCAAGAACCTACGGTATAAGAGATAAATTGAGCCTGTCATTGACATCCCTGGATCCTCTAGAACCTATTTTAAATTAAATAAATAGGGGCTATTATTGACATCCTTTGATCTTCAAAAACCTATTTTAAAAGAGATAAATTAAGGCTGTCATTGGCAACCCTGGATCTTCTAGAACCTATTTTAAACGAGAGAAGTTTGATGTTGTCATTAACACCTCTGAGTCTTAAAGAACCAAAGTTAAAAGAGATAAATTGAGGCTGTCATTGACATCCCTGGGTCTTCAGTAACTTATGATAAAAAGAAACATTTTTTAAAAACACAAATCTAAATTTTCCTTATAAATGTTTTTTTTATATAAAGAAAGTTATCTTGAAAAATCGGAGAAGGGGGTCGAAGTTTTAAAAGAGCTGCAAGCCTAAATTACAAATTACATTAGAAGATGAATTTTTATTTTACCTTATAAGGAGAGGGTTTCATAGGAGGCAGATCCATATCGGGGTCCTCTAGTACTCTAAATAATTACAGCTTAGACTTTAAAAAAACCTTTTTTTTATTTTCTCAAACTTGAAATGCAGTAGTACATTCTTAAATGACGTAAGATAACTTTACAAATTTTTTTTTTAAATTGTGGATTTTTTTTGGTTTTTTTTTACCTGTAGGAGGGCTTTTTGGCTACAGGAATAGAGCTTGGTGTTGATTTAGGGGTTTCAACGGGAGCTGCAACCGTTGGAGCTGGAACTGTATGAGCTGCAGCAACTGGAGCAGTAGCAATTGGAGCAGCAACCACTGGAGCAGCAGTCATTTGGGCTGCAGAAATTGGAGCAGGGTCCGTGGATGTTTTATTAACGGAAGCTGCATCAAGGGGAGCTTTATTAATAGATGGTTGATCAATGGGAGTTTTATTATTGGCTGCAGAAGCTGCTGGTTTGACTGGCTCCGGTTTGGATATTGCAGTTGGCTCATCGAATGTAAATGTTGGATCTTCGAGACATTTATTATTTCCGGTTTCATGTACTCCGTTCATACTCTTCTCTGCACCTAGACAAGGAACATAATTCAATAAATATTCTTTTATGCAGCTAAGGAGCATGATTCAATATTTCCGGTTTAATGAACTCCGTTCATATTCTTCTATGCATGCACCTAGATAAGAAACATAAAATAGCGGTTTCATGAACTCCGTTCATATTCTTCTATGCACCTAGATAAGGAACATAATTCAATATTTCCGGTTTCATGAACTCCGTTCATATTGTTCTATGCACTTAGACAAAGAACAAAAATCTGTAAAGTTGAAAAACTCTTAAGGTTTAACTCAACATTGGAGGCCTGCTGTTTTCTTCCAGATGGTTAGCGTTGTGTATTATTGGAGCCAGGAATGGACACAATTTTATAACCAAACAAGCGCTATCCCAAACAAGCGCTATCCCAAACAAGTGCTATCCCAAATAAGCGCTATCCCAAACAAGCACTATCCCAAACAAGTGCAATCCCAAATAAGCGCTATCTATCTCAAAAAAAAGTTTGGCTTTTAGTTTTAAAGGATTTCCAAAATATAAAAAGTACGGCACTTTGAAAAGTAATCTACATCAAATAGGAACTTTCGTTGGCGCGCGATTCTCTACAATTAAAAGCGTTATAGGCCTCTAGATAAAAAGTTTAAAATTAAGTTTTAGAAGAATTACCAAAAATATCAAGAATAAAACGGGTATAATAGACACTTTCTAAATTTGGGAAATTTGAAAATTGAAAGAACTGTTACTTTCCAGGAATTTTCCTTTCCAGGAAAATATAGAAGAAACTGAAGATGGAATTTTATGAAAAGGAACGACAAGGGAAAAAGCCAGTTTAGTTACAATTTTACCTTCGGAATTTTGTTCTTCTTTCTTCTGGTTAGATTTGCCCTGGAGTTCTTTAGCCTCCCTTGCCAGTGCGGACACCTAGACAAAATATAAACTTAAAGAATATTCTAGTTCGGATACCTACTCAAAATATAAACGAATATGAAATTCCAGTGCAAAAACCTACTTTAACTTTAAAAAAAGATTATAATAATAATAATAAGAAAACCATGATGATAATATTAATAATGATTATATAATAATGATGGAAGTAAGAAATATGGACAATCCAAACTACAATGACAGCCAGAAAATTCTAATATTAAAAGACGACTTTTAGAATCATGTTATCACGAGCAACAGACTAATTTTACTAAATTAGTGATTTAAAAAGCGTAGTAAAACTATTTGCTTTGTATCAGCATCAATTACACTTATGTTTTGCTAAAGTCGTCTTTCTATTCCATTGTTGTCTGGTTATTACTGCACCGAACTGAGGATAAAAAGCTATGGTAACAAAGTTCACAAAAGAAATGGATTTTTTCTCCCAAACTCTGATTTTCTAATCCCTATGTCTTTGCAACACAACAATGTCGTAGACCTTAGATAAACTTAATTTTTTTTTGATCTAATTTTTTAAGTTTAAATTATCAAAGGTCTACACAATTAGGCTGCAAAGATATTGAGATTAGACAATTTGAGTTTGTGGTAAAGACTCAATTCTTAAAAGAAATAATAATTTTATAAAAATCCAAATTAACATTGATATGAATATTCCTGTCAAAATGACTGCTGTGATCACTCATAGGACTGTTCCGGGCAGAATCTAAATAAATAACTATTTATAACACCATTATTTTGGATCGCAGTGCCATAAAGTTTTTGGACAGATAGTTGTGACAAGAGAAATTTCTAAAATGTTTATATACTTGTCTTGACTCTTGATGCAATGGTTATTTCTAGACATAATGAGCTTTCTAACAAGCAGAAATAAAAATCATTTTTATTTTTATTTAAATGAAAAAAATTTAGATATTCTAGAAATATCCTATTTTTTTAGAGAAATCTGAAAATTTACAGCTAATTTTACATTATAGCATGATGATTACTTTATAGCACGATGATTACTTTATAGCACGATGATTACTTTATAGCACGATGATTACTTTATAGCACNAATACGAATGCTTTTTTGTTACACATGATACTTTGAAGGTCGGAGAAGAACTAGACAATTTGCTATCTTTGGAATATTCTAGACACTCAATTGATTTTCAATGCGTTCAATGCCCCCACTGATAAAATTCCAGGCTTATCTGAAAAATATGCATCTTGTAATGACAACACTTGTTATGATTTTTAAACAAGATTACAGGGGTATCCTCAAATGATAAGACTTAAGAGACGACTGTACGGGATTAATTCAATCTTTAATTCAATTTCAATTGACCCTCCTTGCAAATTTTGCAATGCCCGATTCACATCGGTACACTTGAAACCTTTATCTGATCAATAATGTGGAAGATATTGTCGTTTTTTTTAGAATAAGTATGTTTAATTCTGATAATTCCCACATGTTTTACTGCAGTAGAAATGCGCAAGTCACTTTTGTAGACAACCACAATTGAAAATAATCAATTTTCAAAATTACAAACATTGATATCTAATTCATATTTGACAAAACAAAGAATTTAAGAATAACCTTTACACTGAGGATCATTTATAATTACGCACACAGTTAATATTACATTCATGATTTTCTTCAGCTGTAGACTTGTAATTTATATCTTTATTTGTTAAATACTAAAATCTACATACAAAAGACTTCAGTTGTGGTACATCGAGCTATGTACACAAAGGATACGGTTATTACGACCTTAAAGGAATTGTAATATGTCAATGCCCGATTTACAACGGTACCAATGAAACCTTAAGCTGATCAAAAATGTAGAAGATAACGTCGTTTTCTTTTGTTAAAGTTGAATTCTGTTTATTTTGCCATTCAGTTTTTGAAACAAGAAATGAAAATGATATTTTTTTAAAAACAAAAATTTTTTAAAAACTGTTTAAAGGTTACTTGAAATTACGCTTAGGGTCCCTTTACACGATTTGAAATTTAGGAGTAGAATTTGATCTACAGTGTAGAGTAAAGTCTTCGAACAATAAATAGATGATTTTTTAAAGATGAATACATGTGGATGGCTACTGGGAGTCAAAAATGTAAAAAAAAAATTATATATCTATGGCTGATGATTGGATATCTATGGCGGAGGAGTGCATAACTACGACGGTAGATTATAATATATATGTATGGTAGACGACTATATATATTTGGCGTAGGATTTTATTCCAATGGCGTAGGATTATGTATCTATAGTAGAGGATTGTATACTTATGTCGGAGGGTTATATTCTTATGGCGGAGGACTTGATACTTACAGCGGAGGATTTTTACAAATATTGCAGAGGATTTTAAACCTATGATGGAGGATTATATACATTTGTCGGAGGATTGTATACATTTGTCGGAGGATTGTATACATTTGGCGGAGGATTATATATATATGGGGGTTGGTTTTATATCTATTGCGAAGGACTATGTATCTATGGTGGAGGATTATATTTTTTAAATATGGGGAAGGATTATACACCTAGGGTGGACAGTTAACGTACCTAAAATTCTACACATATTGCGGAGAATTTTATACATATAGCGGAGAATATAATAAACATGGCGGAGGATTATAAATCTCTGGCGGAGGATTATATACCTATGGCGGATGGTGGTCTGGAAGTATCCCTGCTTGCTCCTTTGCTTGTAGGTTTAGATATTGATCGTTTGCTGACATCACCTGAATTATAAATATCAAGTACAAATAGATTGAGAATACATCAATTATGCAAACATTTTTTCATTTCAAATTTTATAATAAGTAAATAAATCCCACGAGATTGTAATTGTCAACTTTGAATGGTTTAAAAGGGAAAATAATGAAAAAAATTAAGTTTTAAAACATCAAAAAGTAAAAAATAAAATTTTTTCATAAATAATTAAAAGCAAAAAATGTTACAAAGCTGCTTGACTCACTACCGAATCTGTTAAAAAGTTTATATGACACCATCAAAATAAGAAGCCCTTTTTCGTCCTTTTCCAACAATTCAGGCTTACTTTTGCTTCTTTCGAGGTAATTTAAATCTGTATTGAAAATTAAAAAGTTTCACCTTAGTAATAAGCAGTGAAATAATTCAGTTTTTCGTTTCTGAGTAAATTTTAATAATTAATGCTTGATCCAAAGAAGATGACGAAAAAATATAATGTAATTTCTTCTGAAACTTTGATAATAAACTTTTTAATCAGTTCCTTCAATGGGAGTTCCAAACAGTGGTATTGATGGGTTTCCAAGGGTATCGAATGGGAATCCAAAGGGTTTGCAATAGCCATGGGTTGTGAGGGGTTGAAGGTAGAAGTGATGACAAGTTTGACATAATCATAAAGGGGGTTAGTTACCCCGAAAAAAATGTCTGGTTATGCCTAGATGCTGTGAAAGGATATAACAACATTAAAAATATAAGACCTAAAATAGAGAATTATTTGTAAATCTAAGAGTGCATATTTAAACCCATCTATTGAGAAGGTTTGAATGCTATACTGTATGCTTCACTTGTCCTATAGAGCAGTAGTTATATTAAACTATAGAAAATTAGTGAAATGTGCAAAAGACAAATGTCCAAAATTGGGATAAGTGCAACAAGCGTGAAATAAGTTCTACAAAAACTTACTTTTAAGATTCTCTAATTTCTTATCTACTGGCTTGTCCTGTTTAACCGGTTTTTCCTCTTGTTTAGTAATCTTGTTCTTGGTGTCCTTCGTCTTCTTGTCTTCTTTGATCTTGGAGCTAATCTTGGGTTTGCTAGTAGTGTTTAAAGTAGCTAAAAGGTGAAGCAAAGTTAAACTCTAGTCTAGAGTAGACTTTATTAAACAGGTGGACAAACAGCCAATTGGATAGCATTGATTGCAAAAACAATTTTTTTAATATAATTTTTGAATTAAAAATGTGTGAATGGGAAATGTTAGGGAAAATACTTTATAGCAGAATCCGGGTTTCTAACAAAATTTGTTTTCAAAAGTGACTTATTAAAAAAGATAAAGAGATTAATAAAATAATTTCCGGAATAAGTATCAAAAGAGCTTAAAACAATACAATGCAAATTTAGAAAATACTAAAGCAAAATTTTTTATTTAAAAACTCATTTTCAAATTAAACATTTACACATTTTTTCTTTTCAGTTTCAGAGTTATTCAAGCATATAACTTAGATCAAAAGCATTTTAATGATGGGCTAGATATAATTGAAAAAAGGTCTGTAAATCCACTTGTAATAAAGTTCACTGTACAAATTGAACATGTTTTTATGAAATTTTTTGGTCAAAATCATTGCAGTTAAAAACATGCATATTTATAGACTCTGACGCTCTTTGGTCATTTTGTATTTATGCGTTCAGCATCGATCTTAGATCTTCAGAAATTGTAAAAATCAAATTCAGAAATTGATTACATTGATTTGCTGAAAGCGAAACATGATTCCCATGTAAAGGAATCCCTATATATTTGCGTCTCAATGTTAAAGACCATTGATATTTCAAACTATAAATTCTGTTATATCAAATAATCTAAGTTTGATATGTCAATGGTTTACACCATCAGGGTGGAAAGATAGAGGAATAAGAAAATTTGAGTTTGTGGCAAAGTCTTTTTAAAATTGATATGCCTGGTTTTCAGAAAAATACTTTGTTGGATTTCTTAATATAAAATTAAAAAGATTGAAAAATATACAATTTCTGAAGAAAGGTATTTTATTTTCATATTTGTGTTAAATTCATGCATTTGTTAGATTCACAATTCGTTTGAAATTTTTTGAAATTTTTACTATCATGCTCATTTTAAGGTTTTTAACTCCAGTGTACAAACATGTACATTGATAGTACAGACATGGTACGTACAGTACATATAAAAACACTGGGTTCTAAACATGTACATTGATAGTACAGACATGGTACGTACAGTACATATAAAAACACTGGGTTCTAAAACCCAAGACATCTAAATTCTCTAATTGAAGTATGTAATAATGTAATCGAAGAATATGCTCTTGCAAGGATTGGTATAGAAGAGAACAAATGATTATCAAGTACAAATTAGCTGGCAATGAGATATTGAAGAAATTATGCATCAACTAATTGGTATCAAATGTGACAAAGTTTCAACCCAATTATTAGCTTAGAAGAAATAAAATAAAAGCGTAAATAAAAAGAAAAGAAAGACTACAACTAAACTGATTTCACTGCAAACTGAAACAATTTAGTCTAAAGGAATTAAGTCTTTGATATATGCTCAATGTTTTGAATCCCTATCTTTGCAACCTGATAATGTAAACCTTTGATGTTACAAACTTAAACTTTTTGAAACATAATTTATAGTAAATATCTAAGGTCTACGACATTGTGTTGCAGAAATAAATGATTAGAAAATCAGAGTTTGTTGTAAAGAGTCAATTTATCTTTCATCATTATTGAATATGATGTCTGAAACTGAATATTAAAATGTAACCAGGAACGCCAATACAACTGTACTGCTGTTGTACTTGATATTCTGTACAGTGACGCTAATACAACTGTACTGCTATTGTACTTGATATTCTGTAGATTTGATAGACAGATTTAGTAGGAAATAATTTTGGTTGCAAGTCGCAACTTGCAAGGACATTTGTCATAATTTAAAATAAGAAAAACCTCTCTTTCTATCTTCAGCGACATTTGAAGCTGAATGATTGTCGTCTTCAATCTATTTTCAAACATAATTATGCCGCGGATGATTTTGAACTTGTAGCTGTGATCACTCTAATCTCCGCGCAAGGAAGATATTTTTCATGCTAGAATTATTGGTATAACTGTGCGCCTCTAGTTTCCAATTTACACACAAAACAAACTTGTTTGGTTTGATGTAAGGACTTAATAAAGGGGTTTTGTTTTGTAAATTCTTAGCAGTATCTTGATTAAAAGAACGAGTGACGACGACAATCAGTCCTCTGTATTTAGGTGATTACTATTTCTAAGCGAAAAAAATCCATTTTCTTTGATTTTTTATTCAAGTTCCAGTATTGCATTTGCAACCATACATTAATTCCATCTAATTTTTCTGTCTTGAAACTACGATCTCTAATATTCAAATCTCTTGAAGAATATATGTACTTTGTACAGGGTTTGTACTAGAGTAAACTATGAGGCAATGAAAGCGGCATACTTGGTCTTTGGCGTACTGCAGATTTACTGGGATCAAGTCCTAATCTTGAGTTTCCGTCCCTGGCTCCAGTTCTCCCTGGAGATACACTCAACCGTCCTGAATACCATTCCTTTGCTCAAGGATCAAAATTAGCTCAAAAGTTTAGAGCTTAGACTCGGTAACGGAGAGGTTATGGCCTTAGATGCGGTCATGGAGATGTTTCAGGCTAGACGCAGTAACGGAGAGGTTTAGGGCTACACACGATAACGGAGAGGTTTAGGGATAGAAGCTGTAAAGGAGAGGTTTAAGGCTAGACGCGGTAACGGAGAGGTTTTGGGCTAGACGCGGATACTGAGAGGTTTAGGGCTAGACGCGGATACTGAGAGGTTTAGGGCTAGACGCGGATACTGAGAGGTTTAGAGCTAGACGCGGATACTGAGAGGTTTAGAGCTAGACGTGGTAACGGAGATTTTTAGGGCTAGACGCGGTAATGGAGAGGTCTAGGGCTAGACAAGGTCACGGTGAGTTTTATGGCTATAGCAAAGCCTGAAGCATGTATGCGTTCAAAAAATAACATTTGCAAGCTCTGAGAGTAATTTCACAATATTGAGCAGTCTCCCTTATAGCTAGACACGGTAACGGAGAGGTTTAGGGCTAGACGCGGTAATGGAGAGGTCTAGGGCTAGACAAGGTCACGGTGAGTTTTAGGGCTATAGCAAAGCCTGAAGCATGTATGCGTTCAAAAAATAACATTTGCAAGCTCTGAGAGTAACTTTACAAGATTGAGCAGTCTCCCTTATGTGATTTAAGAAACATTTTGAGGGACTGTTAGCGTAATTAAAGTGACTCTCCAATCTCCATTAAAAAGGGCATGTTCGATTCAAAATGATACCCTTAAAAGCTTTAAATGAAAAGAATGATTAATATATTCTTGTATTTTATCAGGACTTCATAAATTATTTTCAATTTTGGTTTTTGTATACAAGTTAATATATTCTTGTTTTTTTTTATCAGGACTTCATAAATTATTTTCAATTTTGGTTTTTGTATACAAGTTGCTTTCGAATTTCTGCTAAGAAACAATGGTAAAGAATGTCAAAATTTTAACACAAGATAGAAATCGATATCTTACATAAAATTTATCGTATAAAGTTTAAAGGGTACCTCATGCTCCTCATGTTTAAATGGAGGGTCACGTGAAATTAGAAAGTCAATTCTTTTAAGAAATTAAGAAATTTTCTTAATAACATCAACAAACTTCTCCATAAGTTTTTAGTGTCCTATAATTTATCGTTCTTGGGAGGCTGGCGAGAACTTTGAATATTGCTTGGAATAATTAAAGTAATGACAGAAAAATAAAAATAAAGTTTTAAATTAGAGATAAAAACAAATGAATGCTTGAACAAGACTTTTTAAATTTGTAATTTTAACTTTTTGCAAATTCAAACTTATTGACGACCAGAAAACCATTACTGTATTAAAATACCATTAGCAAATATGAACTCTAAAGATAAACCAGGTTTTCAAGATATTTACCAATTCTATACAAAATTAGTCTTTGTCTTTATTCCATAAAGCATTCACACTGGCTGAAATTAGAGCTAAGGAGACATTACCAAAGACAGTTTTATTAATTTATCATAAATCTGTGGTTATGTCAACGCTAGATTTAGGGAAGAAACTCTAGGAGAATGTATAAAGAAGGATTTATTATCTTTTTGTATTCCTTTTTCATAGATCCTGCTAGAAGAACTACAGAATAAACATGTAAGCTCGGAGCTGCATTCATCAACATCTAGTTGTAAGCTGGAGTAGGATTATAAGTAAGAACGCCTAATGATCTATGATCTCCAGGTACCGATCTAACCTGCTGTACCCAGATCCTTATCCAGTCTAGGGGTTGGAGTAGACTGCGCTGATTCAGGTCGGCTCAACATCTTAAGTAATAAAAATAATGATAAGAATGAACATAATTATAAATAATAATAATGATTTTAATGATTGTAATGAAAGTAATAGATGGTAATGATCATTTAATCATAATAAATAATAATAATAATGAAAGCTTATAAAAAAACACGACAGCGGCATCGTTCTGAAAACATTTTTTTATTTTAAATGACCCGAACTATTAAGTAAACTGAACTAAATCTCCATCATTTTGATGTTCGTGGGATTAAAAAAAAAATCATATAAAATTCTCTGAAAAGTTCGAAAAAAAGTTGAAAAAATAAAACCTTTTTTGGTGGTTTAGGAGGAGCAGTCCTAGGTCTGGGAGTTCTAGCTCCGGATCCTGTTTTATGCTGCTGGTTCTCACGCTCCTTGCTATCCTTGTTACTCAAAGACCTGGAAAAAAATATGTTGATTTCTATACTTAAACCTTTTAACTGCTTATGGAATATTATCTTAATAATTTTTCATTCATTAAAAGCATAATTTGCTCTTATTTTCCTTCAATACTTCTTATTTTTTAGTAAAGGTAATTTAGAAAATTTTTATGAAATTTCCAAATTCCTTTTTTCCAAAATGGCGATCACTACCTTCCAATGTTCATAATAAACAAAGGATAAAAGATCTAAAGAGAAAAGCAAACAGGGTTTAAAAATTATCATCCTATTTTCCTTCTGTGATAACTTTAAATAAAGGAATTGAGTATTTGCTACAAACTCTGATATTCTAATTCCTATATCTTTGCAACCCGATGTTTACTGCAAACTAGATACATAGAAATCCCAGTCATAAGACAAGCCAGACGGATAAGGCAAAGGCTATTTTTAAATGTCGTACTTTTGATAAAATATTGAAATATAGCCATTAATAATCATGGAGCGGTAATAATCCCAGGACAGTTTGAGGATAGGGTCGGACCGGTAGGAATTCAGTAGAGCTTTTATAAATAGACATTCTGAGATGGAAGCGTATCATAGACCTTTGATATTTCAAAAAAATTAACTCTGTTAACTCAAAAATTATTATTACACCATCAGGTTGCAAAGATTAGAAAATTTGAGTTTATGCAGCGAGTAATTTAAAACTAAATTTCGTAGAAAAATGTTTTTTTTTGTACAATGATGTTAAAAGTTTCATACCCACCTAGTTTTTTTGGCAAGCGGGAGATACATTAGCATAACTTGTACAGGGTGTCCAAATAAATATGGGCATTAAGTGACAATTTTTATAACGTCCTAAATTCGCGAAAAATTTTTCCTCAAGTGGCAACAACTGCGGTTAACATAGAAACCTAGTCTCGGGAAATACAAAATGTAGTTTACCATTTAAATGTCTTAAAAATTGACAAAGATTTAGAGAAATTTTTTTATCTTTAAATATTTACTGTCTATAATGTTCATGCAAAAATTAGGATTTTGCCAATTAGTTCTTTTTAACTGTAGAGCTAGAAACAATCGCGCTTTAGTTTTTAAATAGATATATTTTTTTGCTAGAAAACGAGTAAGTGAGTTGGTAGTTAACACCAAAGGCTAAGGCAAGGATGTAAGGCAAGGAAAGTCATTTCAGAACTGTACACATCTTTAGTACTGCAGTGTACTGTCTCTGGGCGTACCGGACTGTACACTGTAA